TACTGTACGGAAAGATTATAAACTCTAACAAAACTTCAAAAAGAATATAAAGCCACTCCATACAATAAGCACTGGACTGTGAACCACAAAGTTGGTGGTTCAAGCCTGCCAGCTGCTGTGTAGAAGAAAGATGAGGCTTTCTGCTCCCGCAAAGATTTGAAGCCTCAGAAACCCTACAGGTCAAAATCAACTCGATGGCACTTAACAACAACAAAACAATGCATTAAAACCAAGTTGAGAGAAGATGAAGTCTGAATTCCATAAAATTCAAAAAAAAAGAAAAAAGATTTCAGAAGAACATGAAAGAATTACTAACAGGAAACAAAAGACATGAATAAGAAGCAGTTTAAACTCAGTGAACAAATTAAGTCCATTCCTAGTCCTGTAGGAGTTTTCTACCTTAACCGCTTACTGGAATCACTGACGGCCACAACCTTAGACACCAGTGTTCTGTGTGTAGACACACGGACAGAGACACAGGGCCTGGGAGGAAGAGTGGATATATATTTACTTATACATTTCACAAATATATAAAGAGTTTGAAAGAGGATCTTTGTACCTGGGTAGTCAAAGAGAGGAAGTAGGACAACTATTATTGCATGGAGGGGATTGCAATCATTGAAAAGAAAGAAAGTACATGATCTGTTGAATGTAAAACCTTCACTCAATTCGCAACAAAAAATTTTAAAACAGAAACACAAATCCCACTCCCAGAAATCCCAATTTAATTGGTCTAAGGTGCAGTCTGAGCATCAGAATTTTAAAAGCTCTCTCGGTGGTTCCAATGGGCAACTAGGATTAAAAACCAAAAGAAGCTCTGGCTTAGAAAAAGAGAAAGATATTCAAGTTTTGGATAACTGCCTTATGCCGCTGATGATGACCAGACTGACAAGTTTTTTAATTTGAAAAAGGCAAATGGCAGATTGCTCATAAAGAAAATTATAACTAAGCAATAGTATGCAGCAGTCTGAAAGACTACAGACTGGGTGGCTCTAACTAGATGATACGTGGAAAAGGCACAACGACAGGCAATAAAAACATCACAGTTGTCAGGGCACATATAGGAGAGGAAAGGACAAGCAGGGGAAACACCAAGGATTTTCAGGGCAATTAAACCATTCTGTACAATACTGTAGTGATAGACAAAGGACATTATGCATGTCTCAAAGTCCACAGAACTGCACAACACGAAGCACAAACTCTAATGCACACTGTGGACTTTAGTTAACAAAAACGTATCAATATTAGTTCGTCAATGGTAACAAATGCTGGGCCATGCAGGATAAGCACTGGATCCCGAGGTTGGTTTAAACCACAAGGTAAGTGGTTCAAACTCAACAGCTGGTCCCTTGGAAACGCTATACAGGGTCACTATGAGTCGAAACTGACTTGACAGCACTTCACAACAACAACGCAAGATAGCAATAAGAGAAAAGGGACAGGGTGTTTAATACGGGAACTCTGTACTTTCTTCACAGTTCTTTTATAAACCTAAAACTGCTCTTTAAAGCAACCCACTAACATTTTAATGTATGACTCAAGATAGAGCTTCAATTCCTATGATTCAAAATACCAACCAACAAAACAAAAAAACCCACTGTCATTAAGTGGACTCCAACACAGCCTTCAGTATGGATTACATCTCAATGTCAAGAAAACAAAAATTCTCACCAATGGACCAATAAACAACATTCTTATCAACAGAGAAAAGATTAAAGTTGTCAAGGACTTCATTCTTCTTGGATCAACTATCAACACTCACGGAAGCAGCAGTCAGGAGATCAAACGATGTATTGCATTAAGCAAATCTGCTGCACAAAACCTTTTTAAAGTGTTGAAGAGCAAAGATGTCAGCTTGAGGACTAAGGTGTGCCTGACCCAAGCCAATAACCTCATATGCATGTGAAAACTGGACAGTGAATAAGGAAGACCATAGAAGAATTGATGCTTTTGAGCTATGGTGTTGGAGGAGAATACTGAAAGTGCCAAATACATGGGCTGCCAAAAGAAACAACAGATCCATTTTGGAAGAAGTGCAGCCATAGTGCTCCTTGAGGCCAGGATGGCCAAACTTTGTCTCTCATACTTCAGACATACTGTCAGGAGGGACCAGTCTCTGGAGAAGGAGATCACATTTGGTAAGGTGGAGGGTCAGAGACAAAAAGGAAGATCGCAGTGAGATGAATTGGCAAAGTGGCCAATGGGCTCAAGTGTGGCAACAATTGTGAGTTGGCCCAGGACCAGACAGTGTTTTGTTCTGTTGTGCACAGGGTCACTATGAGTCAGTATGACTCGATGGCACCTAACAACAACAACTCACAGAGACACTACTGGGCAGAGTACAAGCGCCACATATGATTTCCAAGGCTATAAATCTCTAGGTAAGCAGACTGACACATCTTCCTCCAGCAGAGCAGCTGGTGGATTCAAACTGCCACATTTAAATTCCAAGGGCCAGTTCCCCTGTAATGGGCCCTTTAATCCAATACCTGAATCTGTAGCAAATGCCAAAGATAATTACAGTCTTGCTCTGACAAATCCAATCAACAAAGCAAAAAAAGATAATAAAAACTCAAAGTAAACCACATACACTGCAGCCCTCTAAAACACGAAATCTACTCAGAACCCTTACCTGTTTCTGAAATGTATGTAACAGAATCCTGTCGCAGAATTTTACCATGTTTAGTAGACAGTGACATTTTTTCTGGTTGTTTTTTGGCATTTTTAACGTGTACTGTCTCTTCTGATTCTGAATCTGTGAGACAAAAATAAAACAAAACTTTTAAAAGAACTATAACAACATAGTGTGTTTAAAAAGTAGTCTTTGTGAGCAAATTCCTTAGGGTGCTATTCAAGCTACACTTCCTCCATGAATTTTCCAGGTTACCAAGCCTATGGGATAGTTTTCTATTGCTAATGTGGCAAATTACCACCATTTCAGTGGCTTAAAACAACACAAGTTTATTATTTTAAAGTTTTGGAGTTTAGATATATGAAACAGGTGTTGTTGTTGTTGTTAAGTGCCGTCAAGTCGATTCCAACCCATAGCGACCCTGTATTGGGTTTCCAGGAGCAGCTGGTGAGCTTACTGGGTTAAAATCAGCAGAGCTGCAGTTCTTTCTGGATACGCTACAAGAGAACCCACTTCCTTGGCTCATGGTCTCCTTTCTCCATCTTTAAAACTAGCAACATCAGGATGAATGCTTTTCATGCTGCTATCTCTCTGGTCCTCTGCACTTCTCCTATCTTCATTTTTCTCTCTTTTCTTCTGCCTCCCTTAATCATTTTTTAGGACACTTGCAATTACACTGGAATCACAGAGATAACTCAAAATTATTTACCTGTTTTAAGGTCATCTAATTAACAACTGAATTAGACAGTTCTACAAGGAGCTCTGGTAATGTAGTGGTTATAAATCGGGCTGTTAACCTCAAGGTCAGCAGTTCAAAACTACCAGCGGTTCCACAGGAGATAGATGAGGCATTCTGCTCCCGTAAAGATCTACAGCCTCGGAAATCCTGTGCAGGGTCACTATGAGTCGGAACAGACTCCACAGTTCTTAACAACAACAACAACAATTAGCAACCTGAATCCCACCTGCTGACTTAATTCCCCTTTGCCATGGTGGTGATGGTGATATCCCGTGGAGTTGGTTCTGACTCATCGCAGCCCTGTACAGGGTTTCCAAGGCTGTAAATCTTAACAGGAGCAGAAAGCCTCATCTTTCTCCCACAGAACAGCTGGTAGTTTCGAACTGCTGACCTTAAGGCTTCCAGCCCAATTCGTAACCACTACGCTACCAGAGCTCCTCTGCCATAGGCCCGAGCACAGTCACAGTTTCAAAGAATGGCTGTGGATCTTGTTCAGGGCCATTACTCTGCCTGTTGTTGTTGAGCGACATTGTGAAGGGTTTCCAAGGGACAACTAGTGGGTTTGAACCACCAACCTTATAGTTAGCAGTCCAGTGCTTATCCTACACCACACCAAGACTCTATCACTCTGCCTACCACAGTCTTATTGCCAAAAGCACTTGTATGTACACTAGGACAAAGTGTAAGTACCTGGTATATGGAGTATGAAATAGGTGTTGCATTAACTCTAGTGTGCTGACTCTTCCTCTACACCATGGATTTATAATTACAAATCTGTCTCAGACTATTCTAAATTAAGCTTCCAAGGTTTCCAAAATGAGGCAAAATCTCAGGGAACTGGAAAAGAACCCTTTAAAATGCCTTACAGGACAGAGCACAGAAAGGCACATAGTCTACACCCCACCACTTTTAGAACTGCTTTAACCCCTGTCTGCTATCACTGAAAAAGTCTTCACAAACCAGGAGTGCAAACCAGACAGATCCTCCCTAAAAAAACAAACACTATCATAAAAGATGGACAAAAATTGGAGTTTCCTATCTACAGAAAATATTTTTTAAGTATTAAATTGTTGTTTATAGCTTTTTTTCAATTCAACAAAACAGCTGAACCTTTTAATCAAGCACAAAAATAAAAATTTAGATGTTTGTTTTAAAAGCAATATTCTAAAGCATTAATCAATTTAATTTTCAAGAAACACAGCTAGAAGACAACTTACTAGAATTTTTTTAAAAAAATTAGATATACCACATTCAAAGTATGTCTGAGACATGGTACATACTGTACACCTCTAACAAATCTTTAATACATTAACACATTTAGGCTTTAATAAAACCTGTAGAAAAACTTTAACTATATTTTACGAAGGACCGCTCCTCAAAGCATCCATTAACATCATAGAGAGCTGTGTATTTCACATTAGTTCTGAAAACTCTGTTCTAAAGGATATAAAATCATTTTAAAACTTAAGTCTCCTCAGAGAAATTATTACCTGAATCATAGATGATCCTCTTTCTCTTGTTTGGCTGTTTCTGTCTGAAATCATCATCTTTGCAAGAACTATTTACCTATAAATATGACAGCAGAGAATTAGAACACCAAGAAACCTTCATAACTTACCTCATTATTCCTCATTAGCCATGGGCTTAGTGGTTTCCACCAAAGGGCAATTTGCCTCCTGGAGAGACATTTGTTGATGTCTAAAGACATTTTAAGGAGCTCTGGTAGCATAGTGGTTACAAGTCAGGCTGCCAACCTCAAGATCAGCAGTTCGAAATTACCAGCGGTTCTGTGGTACATACACACAATGGAATATTATGCTACCTTTAAGAATAACAAGGAAGCTGTAAGCTATCACATAACATGGATGAACCCTGAGGTCATTATGTTGAGTGAAATTAGTCACAAGAGGAAAAATACTACATAGGACCACTACTGTAAAAGACTAAAAAAAAGAATCCATACTAAGGGGAGGGGGGAGGGGGGTAGCTCTTTGTTGGCCACTGGGATGTGGGCGGTGGAACAAGGGGAGGGAGAGGAAAGTGGAGCACAGGGTAAGGAATAGACACAGGATAGTTTGGGTGCTGGGGAAGTAGGGGACAATACACAAGGAGGAGGAGGAGAATGGAAGAACAAGGCGGATGAGAAAACGATTAGGCAGGTCTGCATGGGCTAAGTGGAACAGAGGTAAATAATGATGTATGCACAACCATGGAACAACAGGGGTCTGGGATACAGGGATTGAGACATGGTTGGAATGGGCAAAAGGGGGGAAATAATGTTACGAAGCTTGGCTGTCTTTTGAATCTTGGTTTCCCTTGCCTACCATTCATTACAAAATAGACACTTGAGGGAGAGAGAAAGGAAGAGCCAGATATATCACCATAGAACGCTTCTAAGTCCATCTTCTGCCTATAACTGACTGAAATACCTAAAATGGGGCTACAACATGCCCAGTGAAGGAGGCTTCCTGCAGAGCCTCTGCATTACATAAGACCATAGGGGGAATCCTGAACCCCATCCAGAATCTTCTGAGGTGGGAAATTTCTACTGGAAAGGACAAGCAGACCAGCCTGGAGCGGCTAGAAGAACAGAAGATACTTCTTGAAAGAAAGACCGACAAGAAAAATATAAAATTATAACGGCAGTCCGACTGACTACAAGAACAAGCAAGTTGCTTGCCCAGGTGACATCAAGGAAAGCAGTCGGGTCCCCTCAAAGTAAACATCTTCCAAGACTGAGACTCAATGGGAATACACGAGCAGACACATGCTCTAACCAACATGGTCACCAGTAAGGAGAAGTGAGGGAAAACAGCAATAAAGCTGCGACCTAAGTACAGACACGTTCAATAGACTCCTGTGAAGCCGGGTGGAGACCTGGTTGGCCAGTAGTGTGGCAAGACCTGGGACTCCTGG